TTGTGACGTAAAGTCCTTCAGCACTCGGCCACACAGACGCCATGTTTGTTGACCCATCAGAATGGCCTTGAGATGTTCCGTCTTTGGGCCAGCGGCGACGTCCTGAAGGGTGCGATGCGTACGTGACTTAGGGAGGGAACGAGAGTATTTTCGCCCTTGAAGACGTATTGAAGCACGTGCAAAGGTGGACCAAGTGTCGTAAAACAAGGGGGATATGTTTTGGGCCTCGCAAGTGTTCGTGTAAGTGTGAGTCATGTGACACTCGATGTTTTTACGATAATGAAATTGTGTTAATTTGTCCTGAGACCGTGTAAATGCATACCAAGTTTTTGGAGGATTTTTATCTCCTCCATGTGTACCCTAAATTGAGTGCTGATGCCTCATAGGGCCCATGTCTGATGGACACTTGTTTCGGCATGAGCGGATTACGTAATTCGTTCATTAGAGGAAAGCAAATGGGTCTGTGGTAACCATCTACAAGAATACGCGGTGCCATTACGCAGAACTACAATTGCAATCGAAATTGAGGTTATGGGGAAAAGTACTCTGCCCGTGTGACATTTCCTTTTGCACTCGTCACGATGCGCATAATCATCCCACGCATGCGCACACACGTTTCAAATGAGTGACTTCCATATCGATAGGCTCACTTGTAGGTAAGTAAGTCGCGATGTGAATAAGTTATCTGTGTTGCCGTAAGACGATGGGAGCGCATCGCACGCGTCTACCTCGTGTTTGGAAAGCCCCTGGCTAGAAAGAAGATCTACCAAATGTCGATTCTACTAACACGGTTTTCCCTTATCTAATAACATAGTGCTGCCATTTTCCTTGAGGGCTTGCGGAAATAAATGTAAACTTCAGTCAGGTTAGCTCGTCTTCGAGACAAGAATTGAGCAGTCCAACTCAGTAGCAGCGCATTCTGTATTTTTCTGTGTTTCCTGATATTCATTTCAGACATTATTTGCAACAAGCGAATGAAAACTTTTTTTTTCAACAAATTTCCTGAGATCTCCCACCGCTCGGTGTTTGGCTTTCTACGTAAAAACTTTGTTTTATTTTCGAACTATGTTCGTCTTTGCTGAAATGAATTGTTTTTAGAAACGGATTGTTGTAGTTATCTTAAATCACCGTGTTCTTGTAAAGATACTCGTAAGTGTCACTGATAAGATAATTACTCTACTTCAGATTAAAGTGGTCAATTTATTCGGGGTCTCTCATAATAAGAGAAAATAAATATACCTGCCTTAAGATGTAATTGTTTCGTGTATCCAAGTGGCAGTTCCTCCAATACTAAGAACCAGCCAACATAGTAGATGGCGAGATTTTACACTTCATATCTCGCCACCAGAATGCAGCACAGAATTGTAACGTAAGAATAATTGATAAACCCACGGATAATGAAGCAGATTTTAAAAGTATTTGTGGACGATAGTAACTTATCAAAATTACATTCAGGAAGAAATTACGAGTGGGTTACGTTTTTGAATAATACTTACTGAAACACAAGTCAGATAATTTGTCATTTAAGCGCCATATTTAGAAATGTAACGACTAAATTATACAAAATTAATTTCATCTATAGTTTTACGGGTGTAAAACCCGGTCTCTCATGGAGGCAGCATGGCAAATAGACTCAGGGCGTTTGTGAGCATAGTACTGAGGGGAACATACAAAAGAAACACGAGGCTGAAAGAAATTGTGCATTGAGATTTCATAATTTGTACC